TCCCCAAGGTGCTCATCAAGAGTAACATGTCAGAGCACATCTACTCAGGACATCAAAAATAAAGGTGTGGGAGACTTGAGAGAAAAGAATCAAAATGAAATATTTGCAGAGTTTTTCTTTTTAACAAACATAGGCTCTTAAAGAGCATTTGCTCCATAGTGAGTAAAAGGAGGCCCAGAGAAAGGAGTAAAACAGAGGTGAAAATGCTCTGTGTTAAGAGTGTCCTGGGCTCCAATTCTAACTCTTCCGTCAAACGTCAGTGGGACTTTGTTGGGTTAACTCCCCTAATCTGAAATACAAAGCAGCCAGAAGAGGTGGTTTCTAAGGATTCTCTACTCTGACACCATGGGACCACCAGAACCTAGATGTTTCTTTGTGTGTTTGGGCTCAGGATCAGAGTCGGTATGCAGGAAACCTGATGAAATGCTCGTATTTTATACCCCAGCTGAGAAAGCATAAGTAACAACCACAGAGGAAACATTTAGCTGCCACAGGCTGACCACTGAGCACCCCAGTCTGGCCCCATCTTTATATCCACCTCACTGACCTCAAGACTTTTTGGTTCCTAACTTCCTTTCTAGACAGTGTAGGGGAAGAAACTGAGAGGCCTAATATTTTATTTAAATCCTAATCAACCTAATGCAAGACGGTATTTGGATTTTGCCTTATCACATATCCTTTCTTTCAGTAAAAACTCACGAAATTTTGGGAAAAAAATATTTCAGTGGTGATTTACTTCACATTAGATCATAATAATCTCAGCTTAACATTTCAGATGATTTACAAATGTAACCAAATGATGTGAGAAAATGAAGAAGAGATTGATGGTTTGGAAAATTCGATGCTAAAACACTTTCTATGAAATATTCTCTCCTGAAAATCTCTCTTATACAGACTGAAAAGCTGTAACTCAGGAGAAGAGATTACACTCAAATTGAGAGAGCTTTAGGTTTTAATAGGAAATCATTACTATACTTCAAATTAATATATAAAATATGTTTTTGAAATTCTTTTCGTGCTCTTTAAATTCTATGATAATTTTATTCCTGTGATCTTTCTTTACTAATTAATGATTGCAATTTCTTTTGGGTGATTAACAATTCTTTTTAAAAATTCTGGATACCTTGAGTGCTTCTGCAAATACGGTCATATTGTCTTGACTAGTATGCAATGCAAGAGTGGAAAATGTGGACAATGCCCATTGCACCATCGCAAAAGTCAGGCTTAAAATGACCTAATAAGTTGTTGTTGTTTTTCCCCAGCTGGTGCAAGACAGATTTCTAATGATACCTTAATATCTGAACTTAGTTCTCTAGGATGGCCCTGCTACATTTTGAGAAGAGGTTGTGAAGCTTTAGCTCAAGATGATCATTTAAAACATTTTGTTACAGAGATGTCTTATAATCATTATTTCTTCATGAGCCCTCATGTACCCACCATGTAGATTATCAACATGATTCCTTCCTTACATCATCAGGATTTTTTTTTTTTACATATGAAATTTCACTTTTAGATCCTCATAAAGAAAAGAATAAATGGGATTTTGAAAAAAGGCAGAACATTTCTCTCAGATGTGCTCAGGTCTAGGAAATTAACGTAGCAAGTACCAAGCTGTGGAAGGAACAGGGTTAGAACAGTTATTTGACAGTATCGGGGCCTACGTGAATCCATAACATCTCAGTGTTTTTACCTCAATAATGAAATAAGAGTAGGCATCCTACTGACCTCACGGAGTGTTGTGAAGATAAACAGACTTCACAGCATCACAGGAATATCCTCAAAATAGTGCTTAGCAGATGACATTAAATTGCTTTACTCACCTGCTTTCCCCACCAGGCTGAAAGGTTCTCGAGGCCAGGGATTACATCTCATGCTTCTTCACATCCCAACACATTGCCTGAAACACAGATGGTTTGATAAACAGCTGAGTGAATAAATACATGAACCAAATGAGTTCTATATAGCAGGCTACTGAAACTTTGAAAGAAAACAAGTGATCCCCTAAAGTAAAAGCTACCACTCCTGAGACCTGGGTACTGGGTGGTCAGCCATGCTTCTTCACTTACAAAATTAAGGAACCAAAGTGAAGACAAGCAAAACAATCACTTGGTGCAGGAAGAAAGTATTAGAACTTAAATTGTTTTTCATCCAAATTTTAAAGACAAAAGTTTTGTGACATTTAATATTCTGATTGGAACATGAATCCTCTGTTGGTTATTTCATGTGAACACACGCCGGTAATTTCGGGAAGAGTCGTCATTCCTGGAGGTGTGGGTGACCTCATGCCTCCACACGTTTTGAGCACAAGGCTACGCATTGTAACCATCACGCAGATTTATGGATCCTTTTGTCAGGTTTCCTGAAATTAATCCTCTAAAAATGGACAATTAGCTTTAAAGTAACTTTGTAAAGAAACCATACATTAAAAATAATTCCTAATAATGCATTTGAAAGCAGGTGAGAATTGATGCTCTTTTTGTCCTAAAATGAGTTTTTTGTCAGCCCACATTATGAAATGAAGACGACAAATATCTAAACACTCTATAAAGAAGTTAAATAAAAAGGTTCCAAAGTACCTAGGGCACCATTAGAAATAGAAATTTACACTCACTAGTATTGAATTATGTACCATTAATATATAAAACTTATTAATTTTACAATATTATTCATCTATTTTTGATTGTAGTATATATCTCATGCATTTATAATATATGTAATATATTGGTACAATATAATTTTTAGAGTAGTGGTACTAACATAATTTAACGGTTATATATGTTAAGACCATGTAAAGTGTTTTTTTTTTTAATTTTATTTATTTATTTGACACAGAGAGAGAGAGAGTGAGAACAGGAACATAAGCAGGGGGGTGGGAGAGGGAGAGGGAGAGGGAGAAGCAGGCTTCCCGCGGAGCAGGGAGCCCAATACGGGGCTCAATCCCAGGACCCCGGGATCATGACCGGAGCCAAAGGCAGACACTTAATGACTGAGCCACCCAGGTGCCCCTATAAAGTGGTTTTTACCAATAGAGTTAAAAACTTTAAGACCTCTGAGAGAAAAGTGACAATAACAGCTAACATTTACTAGTCACATTATATGACAGTATAAAATAATTTCCCCTATTATCTTAGTCCTCATGAATTTCTAAATATATTATCACTTTATTTTTTTAAATACGTAAAATCTGACATATCAGACAAAGGGCTAGCATCCAAGATCTATAAAGAACTTATCAACTCAACACCCAAAAAATAAATAATCCAATCAAAACTGGGCAGAAGACATGAATAGATACTTCTCAAAGAAGACATACAAATGGCCGACAGACACATGAAAAAATGCTCAACATCAGTCGGCATCAGGGAAACAGAAGTCACAACCACAATGAGATACCACCTCACACCCGTCAGAATGGCTAAAATTAACAAGTCGGGAAATGAAAGATGTTGGTGAGGTTGTGGAGAAAGGGAAACCCTCCTACACTGTTGGTGGGAATGCACGCTGGTGCAGCCACTCTGGAAAACAGTCAGTTAAAAAGAGAGCTACCCTATGACCCAGCAATTGCACTACTAGGGATTTACCCCAAAGACACAGATGTAGTGAAATGAAGGGGCACCTGCACCCTAATGTTTATAGCAGCAATGTCCACAACAGCCAAACTGTGGAAGGAGCCAAGATGTCCTTCAACAATGAATAGATGAAGAAGATGTGGTTCATATATACAACAGAATATTACTCAGGCAACAGAAAGAATGAATACCTATCTTTGCATCGACATGGATGGAACTGGAGGGTATTATGCTGAGCGAAATAAGTCAATCAGAGGAAGACAGTTATCATAGGGTTTTACTCATATGTGGAACATAAGAAACAGCACAAAGGATCATAGGGGAAGGGAGGGAACCTGAATGGGAAGCCATCAGAGAGGGAGATAAACCATGAGAGACTCTGGACTCCGGGAAACAAATTGAGGGTTGGTGAAAGGAAGTGGTTGGGGGAATGGGGTAACCGGGTGATGGGCATTAAGGAGGGCATGTGAGGTGATGAGCACTGGGTGTTATACGCAACCGATGAATTATTGAACACTACATCTGAAACTATATTTTGGCTAACTGAATTTAAATTTAAAAATCTGATATATCACTTATACACCTTTTAGGTAAGTTATGAATTATAATAATTAAAGTACCATTGTGAACTCACAACCTTAGAGAAAGAATACTACAAATAACCTTTAATCCACTGTTGTGCTACTCCCTTGGCCTCGAAGCCCAGATGATCAGCACCGTGAAATTCAGTGTTGATCATCACAATGCCATCTCTGAATCACAAATGTGTGTATTCTTTAATGCTGGGTTTAGTCTTGTGTGCTAGGGTGCTGGGGGCAGTCTTCTGTGACCTGCCTTTCACTTAAGATGATGTTCCCACAATTACCTCATGATGTGTCTCATTTACTTGCAGCACTCTATAATGTGTGGACGTACCAAGGGATTTTTTATTTTTCTATTTTCATTTACATTCAGTACTGCTATGAACATTTTTGCACATTTTCCCGTACAACAACGTGACAGTAAACTTAAGATGTATTTTTAGTAAAAGCATGACCAGAAAGTAAGAAATGCTCATGTTCAATTTCATAAAAAAAAAAAAAAAAAGTGCTCAAGTATGTTGCAAACTGGTTGGTGAATTTCCAGCGGCTAACGAGGTCGGGCGCTTTAGTTTTGCTTACGGAGTGGCATCTTGCAGTGCTCTTTATCCCATTCTTCTGCACAGCGGTCAAGTGCAGCGTCTGTTCATTTATGTCTCACCAGCTCACCATAAAAACTTGACAGTCTTCTCTATAAATTATATCAGTAATTATTTCTAATATTCTTTTCTTGTCTCTTTCTCTCTCTCCCCACACACCTTGATTCATTTTAACAAACTTTGATTATTTTCTTTCTTAAGTAACATTGATTTCAATTTCAGGGATTTCAGTCTTAAACTTTGTTAACTTGTCCTAATTCCTCTAGGTTTATTATCCTATGTTATTCTTATAAAAATGACTTCATTTGACAGGGAGAAAAAATGTCCTAGTTTATGATGACATTTCTATGAAACACGTAAAACAGGTGAATCCATCGAGGCAGAAAGTACATGGGTGGCTGCCAGGGCCTGGGTGGAGGGCAGAAGGGACAGGGGCTGCCTATGAGGAATGGGGTTCTCTCAGGAGTCACGACAATGAGGAGCAGAGGGAGAGTGGAGTCTGGCAAATCCGGGAAGGCGCTCAGCGCCACTGAACTCACTTCACAATGATTATGTTCCTGTTACATGAATTTCACCCCAACCAAAAATAATTTAAGCCGTAAGTTCATTAATTTTCAATTTTTATGTTTTCTAATATGGCCCTTAATACTATATATTTCCCCTAAAAATACTGCATTGATTTTATCACATAAGTTTGAAATGTATTACTCTTAGTACTTTCAAAAATTCCATTATGCGTTATTATTTGACCCATGCATTTAACCACAGAAACATTCTGCACACCAAGAAAATGCTCAGGGATTTTCATGCAGGAGGTTCTTCAACTTCTGAAAGAACACTGTGGGATAAGTGTCATTGTCTCTGTTATGGATGCCAACATGGAAGGACCTCCTGTCTACAAATAGTTAAACCCAGATGTCTTACATTGTCCAGTTCCAAAGCGCTACATACAGCAGTTACTGAGAACCCTAAATGAAAAGGAGTGTTGCAGTGTGACCAGAATATGCATTTTCCTAGAATAAAACTGTAGTCCCATTACCCTAATGTAATTTTTAAATGCTATCGAAGATACCTAAGAAACACTTCTCAGCTATGTTCTTAGATCCACTGGATTCATCTTTCCTGTAACCAGTTTAAAATGCATCTAATACAATGTAGGTGTTCAATAAATCTGCACTGAATTTATTAGGTCAGGGGAAAAGACTTAAAAATGATTTTCCACTCTGAAAATTAAATGTCGGTTGTTCAGGTTTAACCATTAAAACATGAGACCCTTAAAAACAAAAGTAAAATCAAAATTTAAAAACCCCCTCATTCACCCATTCTTCCATGTTTGCAGGTCATGGGACACTCAGTTTCCTTGACAGCAGGGACGGAGAGCTTTCAGGAGGGTCCGGCTTTGACTCTCACCAGAGATGCTCTGCTGCCCACATCGCCTCTGACCACGGCCAGTGACCATCTGGCCCCAAGTCTGCCTTTGCATTTACTCCTTCTGACTGCTGATTTCTTACGTGCAAATTTTCTTAACCAGATCATTCATTTCTGTGGGTGTAAGGCAAACATTTGGAAGAGCAGAAGCAGGGTACTTACTTTAAATACATTTTTTTCTCTGTAGAAGTTTCTACAAGTATTGATTTTAGCTTTGGATATGGCTATGACTCATTCCTCTTCACCGGTAATACTGATATTGGATTGTTCAATGAGTGGGAAATGTACAAATTCCATATTAAGTCAACTCAGATTACATGAAGAGAATCATGAAGATGATTTTCTAAACATTCCAAATTCGGTGTAAAGCAAATACTACAAATTAGATTAATACCTATTCAAGAAAAATAATTTAATAAATATTTTAGAAAAAAACTGGTTAAATTTCATTCATAACCAGGTATCTAAGTTTCATTTATTCACTTTTTTATGTTTTGTTTAGTGGTAGATATACTATTCTAGTAGGAAATTTATTTATTTGAGAGAGAGCACAAGCAAGGGAAGGGGCAGAGGCAGAGGGAGAAGCAGACTCCCCACTGAGCAAGGAGCCTGATGCGGGGCTTGATCCCCAGACCCTGAGATCATGACCTGAGCCAAAGACAGATTCTTAAGCTACTGAGCCACCTAGGCACTCCAGCAAATAAAACCGGTTTTAAAAATTGC